GGGGCGATTTTTGGGGCGATTTTGGCGGCGATTTTTGGGGCGATTTCGGGGTTTTTCGGGGGGGGCCATGTCGCGACAGGCCCGGCGCACCTGCTGTCGCAGGAGGTCGTTGTCCACCGGGGGGGGCTCGGCCTCTTTGAAGGTCTCCTGCAGGCGCTGGTTGCTCTGGCGCAGCTCCCGCACGTAGTCGCACGCCTTGGACAGGATCCCGCCCTTGCTCTGCGCGACCCCTCCCCAAAATTATCCCCGGGACCCCCAAAATTACCCCCGGGACCCCCAAAATTACCCCCGGGAACCCCAAAATTACCGAGGGAACCCCAAAATTATCTCGGGAACCCCAGAATTACCACGGGAACCCCAAAATCACCCCCGGGAACCCCAAAATTATCCAGGGAACCCCAGAATTACCCCGGGAACCCCAGAATTACCCCCGGGACCCCCAAAATTATCCAGGGAACCCCAGAATTACCACGGGAACCCCAGAATTACCGAGGGAACCCCAAAATTACCCCCGGGAACCCCAAAATTATCTCGGGAACCCCAAAATTACCCCCGGGAACCCCAAAATTATCCCGGGAACCCCAGAATTACCGAGGGAACCCCAGAATTACCACGGGAACCCCAGAATTACCCCGGGAACCCCAGAATTATCTCGGGAACCCCAGAATTACCACGGGAACCCCAAAATTACCCCGGGAACCCCAGAATTACCCCCGGGACCCCCAAAATTATCTCGGGAACCCCAGAATTACCACGGGAACCCCAAAATTACCCCGGGAACCCCAGAATTACCGAGGGAACCCCAAAATTATCTCGGGAACCCCAAAATTACCGAGGGAACCCCAAAATTACCCCCGGGAACCCCAAAATTACCCCCGGGAACCCCAGAATTACCGAGGGAACCCCAAAATTATCTCGGGAACCCCAAAATTACCCCGGGAACCCCAAAATTACCCCGGGAACCCCAGAATTACCCCCGGGAACCCCAAAATTACCCCCGGGACCCCCAGAATTACCACGGGAACCCCAAAATGGCACCATTTCCACCCAAAATTACCCCGGGACCCCCAAAATTACCCTGGAAACCCCAAAATTACCCCGGGAACCCCAAAATTACCCCAGGAACCCCAAAATTGCCCCATTTCCCACCAAAATTGCCTTAGGAACCCCGAAATTTCCCGATTTCCCCCCAAAATCCACCAATTTTGCCCAAAATCGCCAAGTTTCCCCTCAAAAATCCCATTTTCCCCTCAAAATTCCCCACTTTTCCAAAAATTCCCCTAAAATCCCCGAATTTCCCCCAAAATGCCCAAATTTTCCCCTCAAAATTCCCCCTAAAATCCCCCAAATCCCCAAATTTCCCCCAAAATCCCATCGCCCCCTCAAAATTCCCCCCAAAATCCCC